CTGCCACTTTTAATTTATGATTTTATTCTTTAAAGAATGTATCGTTTTTATATTGTTTTCTTTCATTTCAATCCAGGATTCCTTGGCTCAAGCTGTTGCAGAAGAAATGAAGAAACAATATCAGAATGAGTTGGGGCCTCAGCCTGTTCCACTAACTGTTACTGGAGAAGTAATTGATGAAGAAGATGTGAGTTTCTGTTGTTCCAATTCTCTGTGATCTTTTTACATACCTTATTGATCCCTTATAATTGTTGCTTTAAAACTAAACTTCCATGATTGAAATTTGACAAGAGTTGTTATTTTGCTAGAAATACTTCATTGAAGCAGATGAAGGAAATGAGGACGAAACTAATGAGGAGAATTTAAGTGACAATGAGGGTGTAGCAATGGAGAAAAAGTAAGTTTTATTTTGTTTTGATGGTCCTTATTGGTAATGGTATTTAATTATTTTCTCTCTTTTCCTCTTCTTGTTATTTAATTTGTCTTGGTATGCATATACATTGCCTTGTATAAATATTCAGTAAATCATGACTAGGCTTTGGTTTAACTTGAGTGCCAGATGCCTTAGATTCAAAGCCAGCTTTTCTCAAATCCCTTAATGATGGATAAAAATGTTTCTTGTCGATTACTGTTCTATATGGTCGGTCTTTTGACTTAGCTTTATTTTAACCTTTCAACTGAAGTTCTCTTGAGCATATTTGCCACATGAACATTATTATTGAAAATGTATTTTGTTTTCATTCCCATCAACACACGATGTTGCATTTTAATTTTGCTCTACTACAATCTGCAGGTCTTCCAAAACAAAAAGGGTGACCCGAGTTGAGTTGAATAAGAGAGCTCGACGAAAAGAACAACAAAAAAAAGAGGTAGAAATGAAAAGGACAGAGGAACTTTCCAAAGAAATTGATTGGTAAATCAGTAGTTATTCCTCATTACATTTATTTCTGTAAAGATTGTATTCTAACTCTTTGTTGGCTCTTCTCTTTGTAGCTTGCCAGATATCTTAGAAGAAATAGCCAAAGAGGATGAGGAGAAGCAGAATAGACATCTTTGACAGGTAACAGCTAAGCAGGAAAGACTAAAGATTTATCCACCACGCCTGGGAAAGTACAAGTATGCAAGTTCTTCTGCTGATGACCTTCTTAGTATCTGTTTATAGCTTGCCGGTACTAGGCTTTATTTTGATTGCTGGCATTGGTCTTGCCCTTTCTGTATTTCATTTTCTGAATATTCTGTTTTACTTGCTGCACTCACACACTAAATGGAGTTCCTGATTATGGAATTATTTGTCAATTGTCAAAATATAAAGGAAATGGAAAAAGAAATCTGGCTGATCTAATTGATTTTCCTCATTTTTCCTCAGGTGTTGTTATCTGAAGAAATCACCCGATCTCTCTGGAAGCTTAAGGTACATTTATTTTGGTATCTCATTCAGTTTTAAAATTAACTCATATATACTATAAAGTAACTCTTCTTTTCTTTTGTTTTTTTCCATTTTGGTATTATGTGAAGGGCGGCTGCACACTTGCAAGAGATAGGTTTAAGAGCTTAGAGAAGAGAGGGCTTATAGTACCAACAGCCAAGAGCGGAAGGTCAGTAATCAACTTTACCTTTGCCTTATTTTGGACCGAGATACATTCAACATGACATTGGATTGAACATTCATTTAAAACTTGATGAATTTCTTAGTTTCAGTGCATAGTGCAAGGTGACTTATTTTCTTTAAATATTGTAGGGGAAGTTAAGGTAGTCAGAGAACGTTGTCAGAGTAATTATTTGATTGATAACCAACATCATTATGTGTATGGACAGGAAATAGAGAGCAGTGACCCTTTAATGAGGATTCAGTAGGCCAACTGTGTAGGTTTTTCAGCTAGAGAGATAAGGGAGCTCTCTTGATTCCCCTGCAATGAATGCAGTCACCTATTTGGAAAGTTTTAGGGGCTTTATTACAGTTATGTCCATTTACCTTTATTTGCTACAGTGTAGTGTAACCTAATACACCTGCAGTGATAATTAGCAACTAATTAAGGATTGAAGTTGCTGTTTGCCACAAATATTTGAAATGATAATCTTGCAGTGTGGACTCTTAACCTTTGGTTTAAGGTATTATCTGCAATGCTGTGCATCATGTACCCTTGCTAATCCAACCAATATTTTAATCTGAATTGGTCCTCTTTATTTAATTTTTAAATATATTTTCTTCATTTTATCTTCCCTTGTGAGAATATTGGATGGGGTAGTAGATTGTAACTGAAAATTTACTGAATCTAACATAAAAAGCCAAAGATGAGGACTAAATTGATTTCCACACCAAACTGAGGGCTTCTTAGGCAAGCTAGGATTTTCCAGTGACACATGAATCATGAAGTCAATTTATTTCATCAACCCTTTGAGCTTAACAATTTAGAGGAACAATCATATGCCTGATAAAGAAGAAACACAGATCACACTATCAATTAAATATCTGTATTTTTTATTCTTCAGGAAGAAAGAAACATTTCTAGTCTCTGATTGAATTAGACAAGTTTGTATATATAGCAATTATGCTTGTTAGCACAGCCACGGCGATCACTACTACAGCCATAAATTTATCCTTTCTTGTCGATATCCTGTATACATCCCTGGCAAGTAACCAGAGTAGCATGATCATTGACAACTAACACAACATTGCAATCTACATATATCCAGCAAAATGAAGGAGATGTAATACCTGATAACAATTGCAGCCGGGAATATGAACGAGATGCAAACAACGGTTGTTGATCCTATGAGCTGAAAGAAGTACCATATGTTGGGTATGGTTATGGCTAGTATGTATGTCAGAGCAAGCAGACTGCAAGTGAGGAACATGAATCTTAGGGTGTGTCTGCCCAGAACAGTTCTCTCCTTTGCAAAGAGTAATTCATGTATGTTAGCCCTCAAAGAGAAGTTCATCACAGGAAAAACAAGGGCTATGTGTATGGCATAGCTTAATCTAACAAAGTCGTTTACAATTCGACCAACTAGAGAACCAGAATTTTGATCAAAGTTTACAAGAATGTCAGCCATGATGGAGTCCCCAAACAGTAGGTACCCAAATAAACCAATGAAAAAGTAAATGGCTACACAGACTGCTAAAGAAATCCGGATTGCCAAGCTCATATCAGAAGGTTTTCTGAGCTCTGCTCTAATTGGATGAACTGCATTAATTCATTGAAACCCAAATCATTCCATTAGAAAAGCATTTCAAGTAATTCAAAGCGTAGAACGTTGAATGTTACTTGGAAGATGTGATGTTATTACCAAGGACTTGAAATCCAAAAGCTGTTGAGAGAACTGGGACAGCAGTGAAAAGATCAGGGACTGAGGTCTGATTGCCAAGGTCTGGTAGCAGTCTCAGACTTTGAGTTTTCCCTTGAAACAATGCGACAATTGCCATGGTTGAGCACATGATAACAAACACCACAGCAAGGAAAATGGATATGGCTGAACTGTGCTTCAATGAGTCTGTTATCAGGAACAAAATTAATAACAGAAAACCGCTTCCATTTTTCAAAGCATCAACAATCTGTGCGGAATGGTTAGACCAAACTGACCCATCCGCCTTAGTGATGCCAGTGGAAGCATCACAAAGAGCACAAGGAAGAGCAGTGCATAAGCCCTTGAGTTCCACCAATGAATGCCAATCCATTCCTGCAAAATACCCAAGTGCGAGACTACCCCAGACTGGTTTCCACACAGGACATCCCCTAATAGAAAAGAATGAATATATGTATATTAGAAAAGTGAAAATCATCACTGGTATTACAAATGTTGAGACATCTAATATTAACCACACACCGATCTTATGATTGAGATTAGGCGTTCTTGGCATTTTTCTAACATTTTCAATGTTAAGATGACATGCGTCTTGATTTTATGCATTCTAAGTATCTTGAACACTTTCCAAGAATCAGCATAAGAGGAATAGATAAGAAGGCTTACCAATGATGATCAAATAGATTATCAGACACCCAAGGTTGGTTACCGTGACACAGAGTTGCACAGCAACGGACCCAGATGGTCCAAAGGACTCGGCCATCAAGCCAGCATAGGTGGTGGACTTGCCGTACTGAGTGTACCTCAACATGAACTCCACCGAGACATCCACCAAAAACGCCATCACCAAGATGACAACAAAACCAGGAACAACGCCTAAGACCTTAATGGCGGCCGGAATGGACATGATTCCAGCTCCCACTGTGGTTGTTGAGATGTTGAACACTGCACCGGAAATGGATGCCCCTGATGGGATTTGATTCTCCAGAGAATTGACATCCTGTAGTAGGGGATCAAGCTCTGGGGCACCAGGTCTGGTCTGGTCCTTCATCCTGCAAGCCGAAAAAGACTGCCCTTCACAAGTCACGCAGACTCACGCTTGATATGGTTGCAGATATATGTATCAAATAATTGAAGCATTTTCGTTCCTCAAAAAATAATTGAAGCATTTTCCATTTATTTATTTGTTTATTTATTAATATATATATATATATATATATATGAGATAAACCTATTCTTGATTATTCTAGTTGGTTGGTGCCTTGGTGGGGATTCGTAATAATTGCGGCAGATATTTTCGCTTTGGGCTCTCAGGGTGAAGCTGAATTTTATTGGAAAAATAATTGAAAAAGTATTGTATAAAAAATTAATGAATTTTGTAATAAAAGTTTTAGAAAAGTGAGTATTATTGTGTATTATAAAAAATTAGTTAAAAAATATTTTCAAATTATATTATTTTAATAAAGTTTTATTAAAAAATAAAAAATTTAAATTATTTTTAAATTAAAAATGAAAATATTTTAATTTTTTATAATATTTTACTAAAATGATGTAATTTTAAAATATTTTTTCACTTAATTTTTTACAAATTCAACTAATAAGCATTACTTTTTAAAAATTCATTAAGATTGTAATTTTTTTTTTTGGTGTTTGGTAAGAAGTTAATTTTGAAAAAGTTAGTGGAATAAATTAAATGGATTCATATTATAAAGGTTGGAGGAAATTTTTTCTTTTAAAAAATATAGGAAGATAAGATTACTTATTGGAAAGTATATTAAAGAAAACAAAACCTAAAATATCTACTTTACAATCTTTTTATTATTATATTAAAATATAAAAATATAAAAATAACCCTAAAAATTCAAATAATAGAAAATATTGGGGAACTTTCCCTCACAACCGAACGTGCTCATTGAAGAAATTGCTTGGCCATATCATATAATAAAAAGTAATGACATGTAAATAATATTTTTATAGAATACTTTTACATAATTTTTTTTATTAAAAAATAACAAGTAGGTATTCAGAAAATTGGTAGAAATATATTAATAGAATCTTATAATAAGAAAGTTGGGAAAAAAAAATTTTCTATTAAAAAATAGAAGAGGAAAAAATTATTTATTTGGCACCCCTTTTTCTTTGTAATATTAAGTAGTGAAAATATTAAATTAACATTGAAAAATCTAAATTATGGGAAAACTGGATAGAAATCCAAATAAGAATTTTTTATAATAACCTATTGAAGAGGACGAGTTGTTTTTCTTAATCGATAAACATGTAGTTATTGTTTTATATGATTCTCAAAAGTTCAATCATTCCACTACATCAAACTGACTATAGTCATTTTAAATTTGAATTTAAATTCAAGATTAACTTAATTTTCAGGCTTTGAAATTAGGAAAATTGTTAAAATGCAAAGGGGAAAGTACATTATACAAAAAAGATGTATAATAAAACTGAGAACAATATTTGGTTCCACTGCACATAAATATCACAACAATCTTCGAGCAAATAACAAAAGATGCACCATCTACCAACCTTAAATACTTCCAAGCAATTTTTAAGGAGTCATATCGTATGGTAGAAAGGGATGATAAGTTTATACTTGGACAATGATAATTAATGCTCCATGGGCACATTGCCGGTATCTGTTTCATCTATACTGGCACGGGAAACAAGTCTTTCCACTGGAACTATTACCACATCACGACGCACTCCAATATCTGAAACCAGGCGGCTAACACAATACATACTGCAACCCACAACTGCCAGGCCACTGAAGCTTCTTGTCAGATATCTTAGTGGTGAAGAAATGATGGCACTTGCTGCGGCTAGGAATGATGCTGCCTGCCCACTCCGACCCACACTAATGGTAGTGATCACAATTCGACCAGTTTTGCAGTAGATTGCAAAGTCCTCACAGTTGTTTTTGGATACGTGGTAGACACCAAAACCTTTCTCGAGAAGGTAATGAGCCCGATGAAGGACATTCTCTGGTGAATCAGAGGAAGCAAGGGTACAGGTCCCTCCTCGAGCCTTCGCAAGAAAAAAAACAGGTGAAACGCCATACTCAAAAAGGTAGAGATCACCACCAGCTAAGAAGCAGTCAATGCAGGAAGAAATGACACCATCAAGTCTTGATTGATCACCACATTGTGGGCATGGATTGCCTGAATCATGGGAAGGAGATGAGCTAAAAATAGCATGATCTAGGAAAGTTCCACTGCCAATTTCCTGTCCACCTCCCCGAGTGAAGTGGATCACCTTTCCTTCACCAACATATATGCCTGGCATCATGGCAGGCAAGTTAAGAAAACTATTGCTGCAGAATAAAGTAAAGCTAAAGGTTGTTTAAACTAAACCACTAATAAAAACAAAGCTGCAAGTTGTCATCACCTCTGTTGCTGTCGGATGAGATTTGAAATATTAAAAGAAATTCAAAATACAGACTTCAAAATGCTGAATCTATAAAATTCTCTGTTTGGATAATTTTTTTAATTTAAAATTGTTGTCTCATTTTGCTAGAAGCTAAAGCTTGTTTCATCCTTCACCAAAGTAAAGTCTGTTACATCCTTAAAATATTGAGGGAAAAAGCAAGAGCCAAAGTTCATGTTTAGTTTCAACTGCCAACCTACCAGATCCTCCCAATATACCTAGCATTATGGGGAAAAAGACTCTTTTTTGCAGAAGGGCCTTAAAGGCTTTTTAAAGGCAAAAATGGAATGCATCAAAAACAAAAGCATATCAGAATTACCAGATAATTCCAATCGGTGGTCAGCATGCATTTAACATGCTCACAGATCATGGATCAATGATATTGAGCAAAAATAGCAGGCAACCAAAAAATCACGTGAACAGTTTCAGTTTGCCAGGGTCAACATGTAAGAGGTGAATAACATGAGGAACAGAAAGGCATTCAATCTTACTGTTAAGATTCAGACAATTCCAAAAGTTAAATCAGTTCTGAAGGACAGTGCATCTCATCATCACCTAATGGCAATCCCAACAAATTCAAAGAACTGTGAATGGAATGCTCAAATATGTAAGTATCAGTCAAATACAAATTGTCAAGCACACAAGACTCCCAAGTCCCAAGCCCCAAGTCAAAATAAAAACCACTGTCTCATTTTTGACATCAATGCCAACTAGAACTACCAAGTACCAACTGAACATGGTTAGAGTTACAGTTTGAGACTGATGGAGCATCAATCAGGGGCCACAAAAGATATATATTGATGTAAAGGCCTTTGCCTCAGCAGTTAATACTTAGCTGAATTCTTTCAGATTTTATCATCAAAGCTAATCAATATAGAGTTTCAGAAACCTATGAAAGAGTTGCTTCTCCAATGAAATCCATTACTCATCCTAATGATCACTGGACAAGAGCATCCAAACCAAGAAAATTAACATTTTCCAGAAAGCAATGCCTAACATCAATACTGACCTAAACATTGTCATAGACGACAGAACATACACAGAATTTTAGCTTAACAACCTAAACAATATGACAATTTCAGTTCAAGTTAAACATGTCAGCGTGCTTATATACTGCATATATGCAAAATAAGAACCCAATTCTTAAAACCCATTTACCATCATAGTCAATTATCCTGGGCCATAACATAATCCATTTTTAGAATTCATATCTCATTAGTTTGCTAGTGAAATCATACTCTCTGCTCCATTATCAGTGACCCACATAAAGATTTCAAATTTGGGATATTTTTTAACAATTCACCCCATACCCATCTGTGCTTAATCCCTCAGCCCTAGAATAGTAGAATGTAATGTGATCTATCTGGTATTAGAGGATAAGTTCCACCCTTGAATTTCCATGAAACCCAACAATTGGGCTCTAAAACTAGTACTGAAATAGGAAAA